AAAAAAAAAAAGAAAATTATTTGTTGGTAATACAGGTATTTTAATACAAATGGAATACTCAAATATGGCCAAGTGAGTCTGCAGTGTTAGATGTGGGGTCTGACAGTGTCTCGGAGAGCACTACAATCCATACATGACTTTGCCTTCCAAAACACGTCTGAGACAGGTTCACTAATTTGGTTAAAGGCATTCTATTAATAAGACCATATTTTGATTACTGCACCAACAAGTTGACTTCATGCTCTTCCATGATATTCATGGAATATAGATTCTAATTCAACCCCCAACTTGATATTTCACAAATAAATGTAGTTACAAAGAGACTAGGAGGTTTACCATTTCAGCAAACACTCATCACTGGTCACAGAAAAAAAAATATGAGCTCAATACACATCTTGTGAAGTTTAATTAGTATATTCAACTTATACCACAAAAAGCAGCTCGTTATTCTATTTGGTATTTGTAAAATAGTATAGAGTAAGTGTTCCACAAAATATTGATAAGGAGGTCACATTTTACACATTTGAAAATGCATTGTTAAAGAATAACAAAATAAAAGAATGATTGTTTAACTGGGAGTCTAAACCCTGGAAGCATTTTAACAATATTTTTCCATGAACTTTTTAAAATGAGTATTTGTATACTCTGCCTTTTTAATACCTGACAAATGACTTGCTACAGAACACAGTACATGGTAATAATGAGATCCACTGAGCTGCAAATGACACATGGTGATGGTTAAGGGACCTCCAAGATATATATACGCTCCACAACTATCATGCTAGGTCCCAGCCGTCTTAGACATTCTACCTCCACTACACAAACTGCAAGGTATTTTAAACATTTCAGATTTCAGTTAATGTGAATATCAGAGATAATGTTTTTTAAATGTGTTTTTATAACTTTTTAGTAATTTGCCTCTGAAAGCTGTACCTATTTTCTGAGTAAACTAGTAGTTCTTACATTATACCTAATAATTCTAAACCATGGCAAAAAATATAAATTTAATAATGTTCATGAATAGCTGAAGCTCAAATGAGTCTATATGGTACTGATGAAGATTTTTTTTAGTTCCCTGGTTTTATTAACTAAGTTAAGCCATTCAAAATCAAACCACAAACAGGATTTCTTTTCTTTTCTGAGACAGGGTCTCGCTTTGCACCCAGGCTGGAGTGCAGAGGCACAATCACGGCACACTGCAGCCTCAACCTCCTGGGCTCAAGCCATCCTCCCACCTCACCTTCTGAGTAGCTGGGACTACAGGTGCACCACCATGCATGGCTAATTCTTGTATTTGTTTGTAGAGATGGGGTTTCGCCATGTTGCCCAGGCTGGTCTTGAACTCCTGGGCCCAAGCAATCTGCCTGCCTCAGCCTCCCAAAGTGCTGAGATTACAGGCATGAGCCACCATGCCTGACTAGGGTTTCCTTTCACTATGTTCAAAGAACTGAAGAATATGGGAAACTGAGCAGCTGGTAGAGATCATCACATTCAACTTTTAGGTGAGCAAAGTAGAGGAGGAAGCAGCTTGCTGAACGCCAGGCACAGAGAGTAGCTGAGCTGAACTGAAAGCCCAAGTTGCCTCTAGTCATAATAGAGAGATCTTTTCTCAATTTGCTTTGTTTAAATAATCAGATGTTTCAAGTTTTTTCTAAACAAACAAGATAGATCTGGTGAAAAGTATTTTTCTTTAAAAGTTACAATGTACTTTTCACTGAATAACATTTCTTAATCTTTTAATTTTTTTTTTTTTTTGAGACGGAGTTTCGCCCTTGTTACCCAGGCTGGAGTGCAATGGCGCGATCTTGGCTCACCGCAACCTCCGCCTCCTGGGTTCAGGCAATTCTCCTGCCTCAGCCTCCTGAGTAGCTGGGATTACAGGCACGCACCACTATGCCCAGCTAATTTTTTGTATTTTTAGTAGAGACGGGGTTTCACCATGTTGGTCAGGCTGGTCTTGAACTCCCGACCTCAGGTGATCCACCCACCTTGGTCTCCAGTGTTTAGATTACAGGCGTAAGCCACCACGCCCAGCCAACATTTCTTAAACAAATGTGCTTGCTTCCTAGGCCACTAAACAAAAGGAGAGTAAAAGTTACCTGATCTTCTATAGGCATGACTAATATGCCTCCGACTTTTAGTAATATTTTCATGTAGTTTTCATGGTCTTTCTGAACTCCAGCTCCACAATAAATTCGATCATACTGATGACTGTCAGATGCTATCTGGAGGCAATTACCAACAACAAATGCAGGTTCACAGAACTCAAATCTGCATTGAAAAACAAATATATTTTAATTCATTTAAGCAAAACATTAGATCTAAAAAATTTACCATAATCCAGTCCTTTAAAATAATGAAGTTACCAAAATTATTTATAAGAACAAAATTATTACAAACTTTATTTAAATATATTTATTATGTTTAGCACTCATCAAATGTATTATTTTATTATCAATGACATAGGACACGTGTTGTCAAAACATTAACATTTTTGGTCACACTGAAACCTCACTGAAGTATTAAGAAATAAATATAATGGAAAGCCCATCACAACCTCAATATTGTGATACCCCCAAAATAACATATGATAACAATGAGAATCATAAGGGTCAATAAGTGAGAAAAGGCTTCACTCTGCATTGTCCTTTCCAAAAAACATGAGGAATCAGCAGAAATGAGAAGACTTTGTGTAGAATTCATCTCAGTTTGACACTTTTGCTGAGGGTAACAGTGGGATAGCTTTGTCAAAAAAAGTTAAGAGTGTCCTGACCACTTACCCTGGCAACCAGTAAGGTTAGGAAGAGTTTCTAATAAACTGTCTGAGGAACATTACTGATTGGGACAAAGAGCAGAATGAATACTACTTTTTTCATGCCACCGCTTTGGCCCCAATGATCTCCCTAAGCAAGAAAAGGTATCTATGGTTTCAAAAGTATTTTATCTTGGCTGCTTGTTCCTGGTTACAGTGTTGGTTCATGGTACACAAAGTTATGCTTTTACAAACTATCCTATCTGGACTTCTACTCTATTTCTTAAATTTTGATAAACAAAACTGAAAACAGGCTCTAATATAAGTATAATTAAAAGTCCAATGCATTAATAAGACGGGTAATCTTTTTAAAATTAATTCATATCCTTTCACTTTTAATTTGAGTAAAGTTACTATGATCATAGGGCAAAAGCAGATCATTTGAGGATGAAATAATTTACATTAAAAGGTCTGGCATGCAGTGAAAATGAATCACTTTTGAATCACAGTCATTTTACTCTATAAAATATATCCTGTCCTTTAGTAATTAACAGACTTATTACACAGTAAGTTTCCATCCAGAGTCACTAAAACACAGATACATTATAAACATCTGTTTTCTAAAGAAGAAAATTTACCAAAATGTATGCCCTGTCCTGATTTCTTGTCTTTTTGGTGGAAGGGGATAAAAGGTGAGGTGGGTAGGGTTAAGGGTGTCCCTGTACTATTGTCTCCGCGCCCCCACACTAAGGCAGTCCACGCCCCATTATTTCTTTTACTGTAGCTGCCATCTCACTGATCACATTTTTCAGGCCTCTCTTTGATCCCTTTGCTCTCTACTGCACAAGGTAAGTGCGTAAGTTCAAGCTCCTAGGAGTGCTATGTGGAGGATCTTTATGAGTCTACCGTCAAGTAGTTCTATTAGACCTTTCCTGTCTCTGCCCGAGCCTGAACACACTACTCTGCAGGCAGACTGAATTACTTGCTTCTGATTCCTTACAGGAACCATTACACTGAGTTTTGAAATGCTGCAGCTGTGTATGTGCTGTTCTCTTAACTAAAATACTCTTCCCCTCTCCTTCTACCCTTAATAAATGCCTAGTATCTTTTCAAGATATAGATCAAATATTAGCTTTGCAATGAAATCTTACTCAATTCTTTAATAGTACCTCATTCTTTCTCCTTGCACAGCACACACAAAATGGGAACTTACCTAGATTTGAGAATCATATTTAATTTCTCCTTCATACTCAAAACTATGGCATATCTCAGGTTGTTTAAATTATGGCCAAAATATAATTTTTGGATTTTAAGTAACTAGATATTGTAGATCACATGGTTTAATCACCTTATCAAATTCACAGTAAGCATTCTTAAAACATAAGTTGGACTTTTTCAGTAAGGTCTATCTAAAAATCTTACAGAAATTCATTTAAATGCTTTAATTTTATAATAATTTATATCAACTTCATAATTTTCAGAATGAATGTGAGCAGGGAATTTAAATAATTAAAAATTTTTGAAGTATTAAACCTCTTTGTCAAATATGTTAAATCAACTAAAAAATATGCTTATAGTTTTAAAAGCTTCCTACTAGTTAAAAATACGTGGTAGCTTACAGAACTACTGCCAAGGAAAACACCATTACAGGTAAGACAACTTACAATTAAAACCACTTCTCATGTTAGTGATATTTTATACATGTTCATCACAGCAAAATAAATTAGAACGTAGTGTTTGATTCTAAAACTATATGTGTGGCTCTGGCAAGTTACCTTACAGATTAATTCCACACTTCCTTCAGTCAAATACTATTTATTGAGCACCAGCTTTGTGCAATGACTGGGGATATAATGGGAGATACTCGTGTCTGTATCTAACGGAAGAGACAAGCATCGAACAATCCTATTAATTGAAATATAATTTGCAACTGTGATAAATGCTCTAAAGGGAAAATGACAGGCCTGGGGATCAGAGAAGGGCTCCCTGAGAAATGGCAAGCTGGGATCTGAATGGTGAGATAGGACAATCTAGAACCGCACTACCGAGATGAAAGCCACCAACCACTGTGATGAGTAAACCCTTAAAATGTGGCTAGTTCAAGTTTAGCTATACTGTAAGTATAAAATTCACACGGGTTTTTGAGACTTTATAAAAGAATGTAAACTATCTCAGTAACTCTTTTATATTTGTATATTAAAATACCATACGTCTTAATAGTCACGTAAAATGGAAATACTAAATAACTACCCTTTCACTTATGAAAGAGTTGCTTCTCATACTTTCTCCTTAACACAATCTTCCCTTTGAAACATTTTTAAAATTTATTTTCCTGCTATCTCTTTGAATATTTCTTCTGAATTTAATTGTATCTCGATCACCTATGACAGTCCTCAAAATACATGTATTAAATAAATGAACCATAAAAGAAACATAAATGTTTTGTCTTTTCTACCTACCAACGTTAAATATGAACATTGACATATTAAATTTGACATATTAAATATGCTAATCACAAAAATCTCAGGAGTCGAAAAGAAAGCTTCCCTAGAAATAAAGTTACAGAAAAAGCATATGCCTATGGCGCTTCTTCTAATTGCTTTAATTTTTAAATATAGAAACAGAGTCTCGCTGTGTTGCCCGGGCTGGTGTTGCACTCCTGGCCTCAAGTTACCCTCCCACTCCAGCCTCCCAAAATGCTGGGATCACAGGTGTGAGCCACTGTGACCCGCCACCTATGGAACTTCTTTGTAGTAATATAATAGTTTATGTTTTGCTAAATTGGTTACTATAATAACTGTAGCTTCATGTTACAAAATAGTTTTTTCCCAACATGCCAAAAGAGGAAAAACAAACTCTTGCCTTTAATGAATAATTAACTCTCCTATAAATAAAAGGCAGGTTTTTCTTGGACTGGAGAGCCTTTCTGAAGATCTCAAATCAACCATCCTTATTATTCTAGTACACGACATGAACATTTTTCCCTCTAATGTAAAGCAGAACAAGTGTATCTATCTAAAAGGAATTATTAATACAAAGGATAACTGCATAGAAAAATCAAATCTCTAAATTAATAAATAATTTCTAGTAATTGCAACTCTACTTCTAGAAAACACATACGGGATCTTTATACTTTCATTTAACATGTTTAAATTGATTACCAGGATGCTCAAATTCGAAAGTTTACTTGAATTTAAAACAATATTCAAAAAGGAGTGCACTATTACAAAATTTAAAAATAAAAATTGAAAGACAAAAATATTGGACAAAACAGGATATTTTTAAATGTTGGCACTAAAAAATCTGGAACATATAACAGAACTCATATGCCAAACACACTACAAAGAAAACTATAACACTACCAATATAATGGTTATAAAAAAAATGTCTACCAGAGAAAGTATCCTATCTAGGGATCATAAGCACAGCTTAACCTCTTCTAGCCGTAATACATGAAATTTCACCATCAGTTAAAGAAAAAAGCTCTCGAATTGCATATTCTTACTTTTCTTCAATCTGTAAAGTGATTATGGATAAACTTTCCAATAAAGTACTTATAGCTGAACTTTGTTTTTTCTGACTGGGTACACCGTTGATAATCTTAAGACATTTTGTATTCTGATACTAACATCATGACTCATTTATCTTTTTTTTTTTTTTTTTTTTTTTTTTGAGAGGGGGGTCTCGCTCTGTTACCCACGCTGGAGTGCAGTGGCGCGATCTTAGCTCAGTGCAACCTCCACCTCTCGCGTTCAAGAAATTCTTGTGCCTCAGCCTCCTGAGGTAGCTGGAACTATAGATGTGCACCACCACAATCAGCTAAATTTTTGTATTTTAGTAGAGATGGGGCTTCACCATGTTGCCCAGGCTGGTCTTCAACTCCTGAACTCAGGCAATCCACCTGCCTGGGTCTCCCAAAGTGCTGGAATTACAGGTGTGAGCCACTGCTCCAGGCCCATAACTTATACAGCATTTTATGTAAACAAATTCATACCAATCAGGTTGTAGAACGGCCAAAACTTCGGTTTATATTTTTTCCAAATGGTAACAATTTTTCAGGTAGGCCAGGTGTGGTGCTTCACTCCTGCAATTCCAGCATTTTCAGAGGCCAAGGTATGAGGATCACTTGAGCCCAGGAGTTCCAGACCAGTCTGGGCAACGTGGCAAAACCCTGTCTCTACAAAAATTTTTTAAAACATTAGTTAGGCATGATAGCACATGCGTGTGGTCCTAGCTACTCCAAAGGCCAAGGTGGGAGGATCTCAAGCCCACAAGCTGGAAACTATGGGTAGCTATGACCATGTCACTGCACTCCAGCCTGTGTGACACAGCAAGACCCTGTCTCAAAAAAAAAAAAAAAATGCAGGTAAATGTTTACTGATACTTGTGTATATATTTATATATATGAATAACTAGATGATTGATTCAAAACACAAATGGTGGCTACCATGTTATCAAACAGAGTAAATTACAACTCCTATTGTTTCTTCCAAAGAAGAGAAGAAAATTTAAAAAAAAA